TCTACTCTACTCTACTCTACTCTACTCTACTCTACTCTACTCTACTCTACTCTACTCTACTCTATTCTACTCTACTCTACTACTCTACTATATTCTATTCTATCCTATTTTATTCTACTCTATCTACTCTAATTCTACCCTACTATATTCTATTCTATTCTATTCTATTCTATTCTACTCTACTCTACTCTATTCTACTCTACTCTACTCTACTCTATCCTAGAGGCAGCAGGGGGCGAGGCCAGCCTATTTGCCGGTTCTCTGAACTACTCAAAATTTCCACTACCGGTTGGTTTTCCAGAATGGGTCAGAACTGGCTGAATACCACCTCTGATCCAGATCTGGAGGGAGGAGGTGTTGTATCTCTTGAGGAGACTGATCACCAGATGTTTCACAACAGAGCGTGGTCTGGGAAGAAGGGGAAAGAACCCCAAAGCCATCGAGATACAACGCAAACCTGAAACGGCTTTCAAAACAAAGATTAGGGCACCTTAGCATTTGAAAAAAGGGCCTACTTCCCCTTTGAGGGGCGCCAGGACTCTTTCAAACCAGGAAATAATTCCTCGTAGAATTCAAACCAGGCCAACAAAACAATTGCAAAAGGACAGTAACTTTAAAAATGCAAATAAAAGAACTAGTTTTGTTTCATTCCTTGGAACTTGGTCCTCCGGGGGCAATATTCTACAGGAGTTTTGGCAACTTTAAGATAGGCCGATTCTAGGTATTGAAGGCCACCTGTCATTTGTCAGGGTTGAGAAACGCTGTTCTCTACTCGCTTACAAAAAAACCCAGAAAAAACAAGTAGTTGTGACTCGGTGCAATATCGCCACCTATCGCAAGAAAATATGGGGAGGAAAGCACGTTGAATAGAGTTGAAAGGGACTTTGGAGGTCTTCTAGTCCAACCCGCTGTTCGAGAGGAGATTCTATACCAGTCTGGACAACTGGCTGTGCAGTCTTCTTGAAAACCTCCAGCGATGAAGCACCCAAAACTTATGGAAGGTCTACTGATTAATTGTTCACACGGTCAGGAAAACAGAACAGAAAACAGAATAACAGAATTGGAAGGGACCTTGAAGGTCTTCTAGTCCAATCCCCTGCTTAGGCAGAAGACCCTACACCACTTCAGACAAATGGATAGCCAACATCATCTTTAAAATTTCCAATGTTGGAGCATTCACACCTTCTGAAGACAAATTGTTCCACTGATTAATTGCTCTTCTCTCCTTGATTAGTTTCCACCCATTGCTTCTTGTTCTACCCTCAGGCGCCTTGGAGAATAGTTTGACNTTTTTTGAAACCCACCACTGGTCCTTGGATATGATTATTCTATACTATCATGCTCCTATAGTTGGCTTTTCCAGCAAGCCAACCTGGCCTGAACAAAACAAAATAAATTATTGATTATTATTAATTTTAATTGATTTTTTTAAATGTTATTGTTAATCTTAATTGGGTTTGTTTTTTGGATATTCTATCTAATTAAATTAATTAAAGTTAATTTTTTAACTTTTGTAACATGTGTTTTTTTTTTAATGTTGTACGCCGCCCTGAGTCCTTTGGGAGAAGGGCGCCATATAAATCCAATAAACCAAACCAAACCAAGGGAGCTTTGCTCCACGTTACAACCCAGCTGTTCAACGAATCATTGCTGTCAAGTTGTTCCGCACATCTGGCTTCCCCGTTGACTTTGCTTGTCAGAAGGTCGCAAAAGAAGGACGCACTTCGACCCTCATAAATATAAATCAGTTGCCAAGCGTCTTGATGTCACAAAAACATGGAGGTGCTGCAGCCGTCGTTAAATGTAAAAAAATGATCATTAGTCACTTTTCTCTGTGCCGCTGTTGCTTTGAGCAGTCACTATATGAACTGTCATAAGTCGAGGACTGCCTGTATTTGAGAATAATTCCCACCCCGGTTTTGAGTCCTCACCTCTTACAGCTGGGGGCACTTTCTGAATTTTTATTTTATATTATTTTGGACAGAAAGGAAGGAAGGAAGGACACGTTAAAGCTTAGCACAGCAGGATAAACAATGATCTCCAAGGTGGAACCAACCCAAATACTGCGAAGATTTAAGATCGAAGACAAATATCAGACACCGGTTCTCAAATTATGCCCAGCTTTGCTCAGTTCGGGGATTCAAAAGTTTCTGCAGGGAGTTAGCTTGCTTTTTTTTTTCCTTTTAAACTTTGCAATACTGTAATAGATTATTTGCACCCTATGACTATCATTAAGTGCTGAACCTTATAAGTCTTGACGAATGTATCTTGTCTTTTTATGTACACTGAGAGCATCTGTACCAAAGACAAATTCCTTGTGTGTCCAGTCAAACGTGGCCAATAAAGAATTCTATTCT